ATTTGTTAATGTTTGCTTAAGATCTATCAGACCATTGTTTTAAATGTCAATCTCTAACTCTTTAAAATTGAGTTAGATTATTTAAAACATTTATGAAAATTTAAATGTTATTTATTCTTTATTGGAATTCAAAATCTAAAAATACAGATTGATCGATCTCAAGTGTACATATTAAGAAATTCAAATCAGTTTTCAGGAGATTTGTCACATACTCACATCATTAGGTCCATCGGCAAGGTTGACAAAAAGTATATACAAATCAGCATATACTCTTAACTAATGGCGGATTCAAGGGGGGAGGGTAATAAGGTAAATACCCACCTTGAGCTTATTATTTACAAATGTTTTACATCGTGACTTGTGAGAAATACTAGTTATATTCAGCGTTACGTATCATTATAATACGAAAATAACGATAATAACGTACCCACTACCCAAAAGAATTACGATTAACTGTCAATCGGAGCTTGGCATGACGATTTATTACCCCCCCCCCCCCCTCCCCTTGATAAATTTCTAGATCCGCCCCTGTTCTTAACTATTCACACGCGTGTGCAGCATTCGGAAGCGTTTTTCTATTAAACCTTCATTACAAAACTTTGTTCTAATAATATACAGATATACATTGAAATGTCTATACAATTTTTTTCTATGAATAATATCATTAACAATATTTTATATTGTGTTGTCTAGTTTATGAACGATAAATAAATTGATTGGTACGTGAATCATACTTTTTTTTATGAAAAGGTAATTGTTTTTCTTTATTTTATACTTTGAATTTTGAAAAATTCTAATCATGAATTTTAGATATTTTGTGTAGATACATAATTTTATTTAATTTTATAATAGTTGAATAATTTTTATTAGCTACGTTATAAAACAATGAAAGTGTTATTATATCATTATATCACCCATATTAAAATATGTTCTCAGAACCTCCATCATCGCCGTTTCCCTTCTATGTCACAACTCTAATAATCATTTATTACGCATAAACCAACACAAACCGCATTTGGATTTTAGATCATTGACTATATTAAACTTCTTAAAAACTGTCCATTTATAATCCCCTTTAAGTAGTTATGGTATAATACAATAAGTAATTAAAATATTTAACGCCAATTCTGCATATAAAATAATATATTTTCCGTTGTTGATTTTAGCTATTTTTATATTTATTGTATTTTTATTGAGTATATTAAGTAAAAGAAAATATTAGTATAAATAAGTTAGGTAATAAATAAATATTCTAATATTCTAGTATTATGATTTATAATACACCATAATTATTATGAAAATATAGATTTTACTATTTTAGTCTTTACAAGTTAACGATCAATCATACAATTTTTTCTACTAAATAAAATAAAGGTATTTATAACAGAACTAAGCATAAATATTATTTAAATTTGTTAATATTGTTGTTTTTATGTGTTTAACATCTACCTGCACAATCTGGAGTAATGTCCATTTTGAATATACTATAATATGCTATAATACCGGCTGTCTAGAACTGGAATTAAGCCCCGTGTGTTTTAAACATATTATGCACGTATAGAAATGTTTTCTCTCGATTGTAAATTAGGTCATGGACGATGTAAAAAAAAAAAAACAGTCATTGTCTACAAAAACTCAAGGTAGTTTGCCTAATGGGTATATATTAAATTTGGAATCCCTTATCTGTCAATTTTCGTGATAACGTGGTAAAGAAAAGTGTGCCGTGATATCTGTCCAGTATACACTATAATATGAATTTTAAATAAATTAACAGTTTTCGTTTTAGTTGAAAAATATTTGTTGTTATCGATGTGCCTGCATGAATAGAATGATAATGATAATAATAATATCATTCTTAAATTATTATCATGTAGTTTATTAAAAACAAGATATAGGACAGGAGTGTGGCGTACTCGTATTATGTATTGGGTATTTTACTTTACTAACCACGAAGCAGTTTAGTCGTTTATTAATTATTATTATTCTTAGTTTTCATCATAAGGTATTAAAAATAAATGATCAACAATTATGCTATAGTCAGTAAACGAATTTGTCAGTTACATCACTCGGTGAAATTTAAAGTAAAAAAAATGTACACATTATCGATTATTGTTTTCATTCAGTTTGAAAAAAACCCATCTTTATAGAATTAGATATTTATTTTTAGTGTAGTTCTAAGATACAGGTATATTTTATTAGAATATTTTTAACACTTTTTAATTGTGATTAAAAAAAAAAAAAGTTAAGTTCACTATGTAATGTGTTATTATATTACATGAATACATTGAATATTTGTTGTGGTATTTTGAAATGTTTAACTATACGTTAAACTAATCAGTATTCAGTGCACGCAATATGTTTGTTCATTTTAATTTACAAAAGACTTGAATCTTGGTGTCATTAATTTTTTTAAGTACATTCAACAATAAAATAAAATTGTATGACCTGCAGTGACATAAATGCTTAGATAGGGTTTTATAGAACTTAAATGATATGTGATATGTACATATAAAATATCGTATAAAACTGAATTTATAAGTTAACATATTTTATTAATATTGCCGAGATATCATTTAAAATTACACTGAAGATGTCACACCCACATGTATAGTCTCCGTCTTACAATCGTTAACATAAAAAATTTTGCGCTTACAATAATTAATTTTACTTTGTTGTTTTTAAATAAATTGACTTATCATAAAATTTAAAGGCACGTAGGAGACTTATTTATATTTCAATTACAAAGCAAGTATAAACAAATACATTAAAACTATATAAATTGTGAAATTTTAAAAATTATTATAACTTGCTTCAAAATTAAAATATCAATTAAAATTTCCGAAATGTTTTTGATAATAATCTAACCTTTATATTTTATCATTAGTTAATTCATTTTAGTTTTTGTGGACGTAACATTTATTTTATTTTGTAAGATTTAAGATGAAGACAACATGCGTATGCGAATGTCTTCTGGTGCACTCTTAAAAAATAAATATTTTATTTAATAACAAAACAAAAATGTTATTGTTATTGCAATATTTTTTTAATTTATGTCGATCAAAAACAATATTACGCTTGTTAAGTTTTTTTTTAGTTTTTGATCAAACTATTTATTATAGGCACATTGTATATTTATAATTATTAAAAACGTATTGAGTAGTTGGCACAGTTTTTAATTTTTATGTCAAATAAGCATTTTTCTTATGATAGTTTATTTAGTATTATTTATATCAACAAATTTTATATGATAATAAAATGAATGTTGACCAAAAGGCAAAAATATAATAAAATGTAATTTGGTACGAGTATATTATTAACATTTAACACAGTATGACGAAATCCGCTTAAAAACGCGCTTGTGTTTGTGCTTTTAACGTGGAAAAACAAGACTAAATAAGTGTACAATGTACATTTAACTTAATTGTACATAAATACTAAATAGTAAAATTATTAATACGATTTTGGTTTGATAGTTTTTATTTCAATTTATCTATACACGAAATAATAATTACCTATATATTAATAAATTTGTAATAGTAATAATAATAATAATAATAATAATAATAATAATAATAATAATTAATAATATAATTAATAATAATGAACTGTATTTAAAAATCAAATACAATTATATAATAAAGATATTAAATATGTATATTTATAATACACATTAACGTCGTTGTTTAGCGTGTAATGCAAAATGGCATATTATAGTATATTTTTTCGTTTTCAAAAACGGTTTTCTTTTTTACGGGATAGATTTCAAACATCAAAACCAAACGATCAATCAATTGCTATGTTTAATATTATTATAGTTAATTTTGTTTATGTATAATAATAAACTACCTCCACTATATATATATGCATCACTAAAGTGTGCGTATCAACATCATTCGACTAGAAAATATTTTTAACACAAGTACCTCTATATCTTTTTAATCATTATTATTATTAGAAGTAATTACTAGTTATAGTATTTAAACTATATTATATATAATATGTATATAATTACACGCTGAGTGGTGCGGAATAAGAATAACAGTCTGCGACAATATATACTGTAATTATTATTTATGAATTCATTCGGACGCACGTAAATCCAAAATATAGTATAGAAATATAAAATATTTTATTGACAGCGATGATTGTTGACGATTTATCAATAATATTATTATTGTTGTGCAAGTGAAAAATATATATATTTACGATGAAATAACACGTAGTTGAGTTGTATCGTCAAAAGGACCCTTAAAGGATATAGCATGGCTAGGCCATAAATATTGTAAAATAATATTATATGGCGCACAATTTTTATTATCATCGAAGAATAAATCTAGATTGAGGATCACCGCTCAATTAAAACAAAAGAAAAATGTGTCAACTCGCTGTCAAGTACGTATACGATAATATCGTCGCGAACGTGATCGAAAGTCATCGTTGAACGTTAATAATTTGATTTTTTTTCATTTCTACAGCGTCATCAATTGTTACAGAAGCACTCCTTTGGTATTACGTTTTTTTTCCTATCTTTATTCCACTATTTAATTTGAACAAATTTTAATACATCTGAAAAGAAAAACACTGCAGACTTCAAGAGTTAATACACTGGTATTAATTTTTTTAATTTTATTTTATGAAAATTTGATTAAGTCCAAAGAAAACAAAGAAAATTTTATTGTCGGGCGTACAATAATAATATTATTTTATTGTGTACCAATACACTGTATTGTTATTTTTAAATTTAAATAATATGTGACGATATTTTGTGTAAATTATATACGAAGCCTGCATTGCACAACAAAATATAAAGAAAACGGACACAAATCTCTAAAACAATATCTGCAAATGAGGTAGTGGCTCTATCATAATATTATATCGTTTAAAAAACACGTATATGTGTGTTGTATGTTAGTACTCATTGCTTGGCAGCCTACGATATACGGACGACCCGCTGCTCACGGTTATTGATTTTATTAGTTTGTTTGAAAATTTTGTTTTTATTTGTTTTTTTTAAATTTTTGTTAAAATAAATGTCTTTTTGTGTTTCGGTACTGCTGTAACGGGTTTTGTTGTTTGAAGTATCTCGTTGGGCCGTGGGGTATCCGAAACCGGGTATAAGACTTTTAACAGTTGCAATTCGGATTGTTCGGACCTTGCGGCTGTTCAGTGAGCCTGGTACCTTTGGTACCGGCTACCAATGTTGGGTCCGAGTCCAAGCTTTCAGACATCTTGTCGCATATGATGTCCACGAGTCGTTCGAACACGGCCTGTAAACAAAACAGATACAATTACTATAACGTCATATCCCATGTGCCCGTCCAATACAATTAAAAATAATATTGTGTTATTATTAATAATAAACGTTTTGAATATTAAATATTATCCTTATTATTTATATTATTTTAATATATATTATGTTTTACGCTAATTGATCTACAATACACGCATTAGGTCATGTAGCCGTTTTGTGTTCAAAATAATTAACTAATGCTTTTATTCTGAATTTAAAATATCTATTGATTTTTATTATATGAATCACATTTTTATTTTTAAAACTTTGCTCGGAGACATCACAGCTTCAATATAGTTAAATTTTAACCACGTGATATTCGACTTGCAATTACGACTGCTTTCACTTACCTACTATTCGAAATTTTTTAAATTGTATTACTTTAGTCTACCATATAAATGATTAAAAAAATAATCTACTCGACTATTTAATAGTTTTGTATTCTCTATTAATGGCAAAGAGTTATTAAAAGATTGTGAAAAATGTTGATACTTAAATCATAACCACATAATAGTAACAAAAATATAAAATATTATATCCAATTGAAGTTTTTAGTAAGAAATTAAATTCGAATAAATAAAAATTCTTTTTGCCAAGTAGACTAGAATTTGTCTTTTTTCAATCATATTATAATATACTATGTACAGGAAGTATAAATATATTTTAGTATTTTACAGTTATAAAAGTTGAATATTATAATCTTGCAATTACAACTTATTATCTCAAGTGAATTAGAAAATAAATTAAGATGAATTAATAGATCAGGTTTTAGGTCATGATTATACTTATATTATGTAGGCTTAAACCTGTAGAGAAGCCAGAATTCGCAATGAGAAAAGTTTTAAGTCATACCTAGTTAACAAAACTCGTTAAATAATTCTAAACATATCTGAGTAAAGATACATATAAACGAAGTTTTTGTTGAGTAAAACAAGTAAATTTTTACAAAAATTGCGATGAACCGCAACGACCTCACTGGTCTGGATGAAAAACATTGTAATTCCAAAACATTAAATCGATAGGTGCAAAAATAAGCTTCTACGTTCATTATCGTGATCAAATTTAAAAAGTTTAAAGCTCTCCTATAGAAACAGTATTTGCAGCGATTAAAATCTTTTTGCTGTCTAACCGTAGTCTATGTATTAATATATTTTCTGCCTTTAAGATGTTTAAAAGAGCAATATTCTGAAGTGCGTCGGCAATGGATCAGTAGATATATTATAATATTAAAGTCTTTATTCTGGAAGCTTATAGCTTGTATATACAGACTCAGAGATACGAGTTCGTCATTTTTATAGGATATTAACTTCGATGTAAACAGCTCACGTAAAATTGGTTAACATTTGTTAGACTTTTATGATATTCCGTATAATACACCTTTATAATGTTTGGAAATTAAAAAAAAAATATCATACCCACCATTTACTGTAAACCACAGTCTATGTAGAATAACACATAACAGATATAGATACCTAGGTACTAATATACTATGGAGATAATAAAACTCGTAGATGATGTAATACTGGTCCTAAAAATGACGTCGTTGCGGCATTGCTGTAGAGTATTATACAAAATGTTTCCAAAATAACTCATAGGATTTAAAAAAAATAATTTCTTGTAAAATTTGTGTAAATACAATTTAAGATAAATTTTATAGGTTAGCATTTACGTTATTAAGTCTTGTCACAATGATCATAAAATAACACGTTCAATTGTTACTCTCATTACTTGCACAAAATTCATCTAAACTCTATTCAAATTTCTCATAAACCCGTTGAAGTATACCGACCTTAATCAAGTTGATGTAGTCAGTAATGTATCTTTTAAATTCATCAAAATTTCTCAGAAGGAAAGGTAAATATTTTACGAGTGCATAACCCCAAGACCAAATGGCAGAATATTTAAGTTCCGGAGAACAAGGTCGCAAAGGTAATTAAAAATAAATAAATAATATTAAGTTTAGATGTATGCCACGCAAAAAACTTTATTATTTTTAAACGTTTTAAAAAAACTTAATTTAATTGTTAACCTTTAAAACTTGTCCTAACTAATGCAATTACTTAAATTTTCCAATAAATTTAATTGGATGAATCATTTTAGAACATACTCTATTTGTAATAATGAAGGCTGTTCGTTCGGGCGCACACCCGCGACGTAATTACACCATTTACTCGGCAAGTGAAAATAATTGTATAAACACGCTGCGGGGGTCACCGGTTGATTTTCGGCGGCCTTCTCTTTTTGCTTGAGTGCTACGCGCATTGATATGCTGTACGATGTGCTCGCGTTTCTCACCGTCAGAGGCGCCATTTTATTCTTATCGTCCCAGTGATACTCACGTGAATTATTTGCTCCTTTTCTGGTTAATATACAGAAATAACGCATTTACATTTATATAAATTAATCGCGCAATGATTTTGTTTTACGATCTCTGCTTGGTAACTAATTTAGCAACATATCGAAATATTACTGACGGGTGCGCGTTGACAACGTAATTTGATCGTTATTACGATGACGATGTTGTATAATATTATTATGTTATTTCATCGACCCAGTGGCTCAGTTGACCTACAAGGAAACTAATACCCGAAAAATAGGGTTGAGTACGTGTCACACACGGACCCGTAGCATAGTCTAACTCGATTGATTACTGTGTCACACTAAGCGACAACGTCTCTTAAGCTCATATTCAAGTATGGTTTGCCAAGAAATAGTATTTTCAAATACATACATGCACATATATATATATTAATAGGTGTATATTTATTATATACTGTGGACCAAATTTATTAATGTAGAGAACCAATTAAATAGAAGAGATAGTCAACAAAAGTCAATATCATATACAGGATGATTATTTAATCACAAACCAATAGATGTTCTTTAACAAAAATTAACCATATACGATTAAACTGAGAATTTCGAGAGTTGTGTGATAGTAAAATGATTATCTTGTAATAGATATTCTATAATAAACACCGTACAATATAGTTCTTCGGCAACGGTTTACTGCCATAAAGCAAATACACACTGTATGTAACGTATTTTGATAGTAGTGGAGGCAGCTTTTGGTATGACAATTAATCATTTTCAACGATATAACTCTAAGTATACACGTATACATTCAGACACTCTGCGCTTTATACCTACGTCTATATAATCTTAGTGTAGCAAAATCGCATTAAACATGACCATGACAACCCGGGTTTCTCGGTACGAATGACTGAACTAGCGTACAATGTAAAAATAATAATATTATCCTCGCAGGATTACGCACATAATACTAAAATATATACATGGTGTTATAAATTATGTACGAATGATGTGGGTTTTGGAAAACGGATGTATAGATAGAAGGTAGTAGATACCCATATAATATAAGCATTCGCTTCAAACTGTAAATGCCACTCGTTTTATTCGATATGGCGCGCATGCACCTATTTTATAATAATATAGGTATAGTATCATTATATTATAAAAGTATATTGCACCGACCTTGACATTGTGGTTGTCTTTGGCGGAAGTTTCGAAGAATTCGATGTTTAGTTCGTCGGCCAGCGTTTTGCCTCGTTCGTACGATATCACACGTTCGTGTTCCATATCGCACTTGTTGCCCACCAGTATCACCTGCGCATTGTCCCAAGAGTACGTCTTGATCTGTGTTACCCTGCAAAAGACGCAACCAAACACGGGAGATAAGCATGGACCCATATTATAATTATTATATTTAGCACGAATTATTAACATTATATATAATATAAGTAGGTCATATGTATACGTGATAAGAATGCACGTACAAATAAGTATCTGAATGTCGTGTAACGAAATCTGAACTCAACGCCGTAGCCTCTCACTTCCCTCTACTCAGCGATTACCCTTATAATAAAATTAGACTTACCCTGCGTGGTATATTGTATATAATGTATATAGAGAAAAAATCTATAAGACTCACCAGTCTTGCACGCTGTTGAAGGATTCCTCGTTTGTGATGTCGTACATGAGTATGAACCCCATGGCGCCTCTGTAATAAGCTGTCGTGATGGTTCTGTAACGTTCCTGGCCTGCCGTGTCCTGTGGGAGGAGAAAATGTCAATATGTATTATCATGGTATTTATATATTTTAAGACGGGATACAGGGTCATTGGACCTTTGGACAACTCTGTATTACTCGTATATCAAAATATTTTTTAAGTTTGTAATTCTAATAATTATTAGACTCACCCATATCTGAAGTTTGACTCGTTTATCGTGCCTAAACACGGTTTTTACTTTGAAATCGATGCCGACAGTAGATACGAAAGCCGATGTGAAACTGTCATCGGCATAACGAAACAGAAACGAAGTCTTCCCAACGCTACTGTTGCCGATGATGAGCAACTTAAACATGTAATCAAAGTTCTGGTCAGATCCTTCCTTTTGCCATTTACCGTCTTGACCGGCCATTTTTGCTGTACACCCGATAAAAAAACGGTTATCGCGCTGTAATACAAACAGATTTAATGTACAGGTGGAAAAAATCACTTGGTAGGTATATAAAAATTACACACCACCCGAGGTAGATGTTATGCAGTGTGACTTACCTTGAGCGAAACTCAACGATGACTATACTATTGGACGAAGGGTGGAAGAGTGTTCGTAACGCCTCCCACACTATACGGCACGAAAACTTCGAAAGTCCGTTCTTCCACAAGTTCAGGCGTTTGTCATCGGCGGTAGCAGTAGCACCAGCAGCGGTGGCGGCTGTGTACGTGTAGGAAGTACGTTCCGGAAATACGCACACTCACATGAACAATACACACATACACACACACGGTATACGTATACACTCGCGCGCGGGCGAAGGTATACACACGGGCACGGCGAGCGAAAGGATCAAAAGCCCAATCGATAAACGCGACGGCAGCGACGACAAAAACGACGGGGCGCCACCTGGTGTCACGGATTCACCAGATCTGAGCGATACGAGCGCGGTGTTATGTATTTTAATTTTTCGCGCGCGTATTTGAAAACTTACCTACACGAAATCAGAAGACTTGGCGGACGTGGACCGTTTTTCTTCAAGCGACAATGTGTGGTTGTCCAGGTATAACGGCCGGTGACGACACAGTGGCGGGATTATTGATAATAATAAAGATTTAGCACGGTGTAGCGCAAATCCGTCAATGCGCGAGAACGTCGCGAGCGAAAAAAATAAACTGAAAACGAGGAGGGAAAAAGCCCGTAAGAAAAATGACAGTAGAGCCTATATTGATTTTCGGTTCATCGAGGACTCGCGCGCGCACACGCGACACCGCCCGACGACTAGCGCTACTGCTGCCGCCGCGGTCGCTGTCGCCGCCACCACCAGGCGGTGCCCTCTTCGAGCGGAAACGCGGACGCGTGTCCCGGACTTTATTATCATCATTTCCGCTAACGCACTAACCTGTTGGTCGCCGGCATATCACTATCTTGGGCCACTGATTCTGTTATTATTATCTTCGTAATAGTGTACTTTATTATTATTATTACCATTGTCATTTCCATAAGGTTATGACGTCTTTGTGAACGTTGCGTCCTCTTCTTCGCATCGCTGCTAGTCGCTAGACCCCGATGGACGATAATTAATAATAAAAATAATAACACTAAAATTATCACATTGACAGATACACTATTTCCGGAGAATAGAAACGATAAGAGTTTTTTTCCCGTTAAATGGATTACGTACGATGATATTGTTGCCTAGACGCAAAGAGGACGTTAGTGGGAACGCTGGTTTCCAAAAGCTGTGTAAATATTATGTTGTAAGTAAATACGCGAGTCCATCTACCACACACGTAGACAATTTTTTTTTTCGTTTTCATTTTTTTTTTTATTATTTATTCTGCATCGCAGCTGTTCCACTCAAGGTCATCGTCATCATAGTGACACACTTAATATTTATAAAATATACCAAACTTTGATATTATTATCGTTCGTCGTGTTGTGCACGGCGTAAAATTATTCGGTTACACGGATCACAAACAGAGGAAATTAATATAATAATTTAAGCACATTTGAAGAAAAAATAACTAATTTTTAATTTTTTAAGTGTTTTTTAATTGACTTTAAATGTTAAATAAATCAACCAAATGACAATATAATATATGATGTGCACATACAAAATTATATAAACATATACATAAATATACAACATACAATATGATTTACTGTATTCGATATTCTAACAGTATAATATTTTGATAAAAGATAATACGTATATTATTTTTTATCATTTAGTATCGTTTCGACGGAATGCATCGGCCGTGTGCTAATAAACAATGAACCTTAATCTCATCACCAACGTCTAGAACAACACTATGAACTTGCATACATACTTGTATATAATGTATATGTATATATATAGAATGTTATATGAAAATTTGATTATGAGTAACGAAAAAACGTAGAAAACAGATGAAATATTTTTTTTTAAACCAACAAGAAACCGCTATACATAGTAACGACCCTATTTCTATTAATAATATTATTTCTTATACATGAATTTATAAATTTATTATTTACATGAACAGATAATATAATATAATTTTATGATAACATTACAGTATAATATAGTATTTATATCTGAGCATAAAATATATAGTAATAGTATAAACATGATTTAAAACAATATAATAATATAATAGTATATACGACTACATTTTATGGAATAACGGTTTCGATGTAAACTTACAACAATATTATTTTAATAACGTTATTACTGAAATAGAGACGTCCCTTTATCTTGCTCGTCGTTCTGAACTAGGGCAACAGCATCAGCAGTACTTAACCTACGCACTTGAGCATCGATTTACTTAATAATCCTATAACAACAACGAGCTTGTCGTATATCTGGCCGGACAGTCTTCTTTACCACATTAATATTAAATATTTAAACGTATAATAATATAATACTATACAATCAAATATTATTCTAGGAAATAAATAAACGTAGAGGAAAACATGTAACAACAAAAACAATGAGCGTTTTTTTTTTTTTACGTTCATAATATAATAATTTAAAATAATATATTTTATGCAATCAATAATAATCATTAGACGCTGCAGTTCACGTAAACTACACTGGGATGGCATCTTCGGCGTCGTAGTCATCGTCGTCGACGTCTTCGCAGCCCCCACCATCGACACAGTCGACTTGTAATCAAGTTGGGTCCTTGTCCTTTAGTGCTTGGATTATGCATTGCTTGACCTCGTCGTCGGACATCTTGCTCAACGCTTCCAGTTCCGTTTTAGGCGCTTGCCTAAGCCATCGGAATACCTCCACAGTCTTGCGGTTCTTAGTCGGCCGGTGTCCGTCGCTAGACCGGCGAGCTCTCTTTACTTCCACGATCCTCGGCAATGTGGCTGGTGGCTCGTCATCCGATTTGCGACGGGTCGACTGCTGTTCACCGTTGATCACCACGCGGGGCGGTCCCTGAGAGTAGCTTGACTTCCGCGATTGTATACCCAAGTCAGGTCGCGATGACGAGGTGTCCGAGGAAAAACTTGACCTGAAATGTTGTGATAGAATTAGACCGTGTACTAATACATACAATTGAGCTGTCAATTCTTAACTGGTTATAGTAATTTTATAAGTCAATTATTTTATATAAAAAAGCATAACTCTTGATATTTATATAAAACTTTATCTTATTTACAACAATTAAATATAGATAATCTATTATTTATTGCAACAACCTGCGTGACTTTTTAGAAATTTTAATTCAGTTTTTCAACTACCAGAGGTTATTTAAGTCTATAAATTACTTTATATTATTATCTATACTACTATATAAAATTGTAAGTGATTTTCTACGACTGCGTTTATCGAGAAAACTACTGAACCGATTTAGCTGAAATATTTTACTGTTATACCTAATAGTTTGTTGAAGGTTTTAATATCACTTTTGTTAATAAAAAAAATAAAATAAATTAAGTAAAATGGGAATTTTTATGCATATTCAATATTATTATTAAAATTATTGTTTTATAACCATGGTTACTATTAAAACATGTTATAATTATATGTAATGACATTTTAAAAATATCTAAATTAATTTAAAATTATTATCTATCTATTTATATAATGCATTTATTCACTTTGTTTTATGGTAAGATTTAATTAACTCCAAGTTTATAATAAAGTTCTTGAAAATTTAAAAAAACAAAGCTAATTTTTAAGGTCTCTCTGCAAGGTCTGCAAGAACAGGCTTTTTTAAGTTTCCGTTTTACAACAATAATATACAACATTTTTCCATTTTTTTTTTTTTCAAAAGGTTATACCAAACACTTAATACCACATAATTAAACAATAAAATTTGAATTAAAAAATTCTACATAATATCTATATATCATCGTCTTAAGGCAAAATTAACAACCAATCACGGGCGAAGCCGTGAAGGGTCAGTTAGTTTTAAGATATTTTCGTAATATACTTGACAAAATGATATAAATAGATCTGCTTAACAAAACGTATTGTGCATATTATAAATTATTCTTTATCTTCCTTTTAACCAAATAAGTGTGTTATTTATTATTTATTATTCCTTTAAAAAATAATATATTTATATATACTTCAATATTTGTATGTCACTACATTTACTATATATTAATATATATTATTATTGCAATTATAATTTACTCTGTCAATAAAAAATAAACAAAAAATAACACATGCCAATCACAAACTAATTTCTTGAAAGTGCCTGCAACACACATATCAGGGACTTTTTTTTACGGGATTTTATACATTTTCTAATTATCTTTTTAATTGTAAATCGGATTTTTATTTTGTAGATTATAAAATTGCCTTAAAATATTATAAAAATAACACTGTATTATTGCGTGTTCATTGAAATAAAAGAATTGTGTTTATCGGAAAATCTTATAACGTTTTCGTGCTAACCAAAAATACTAACTATTTATTCTATACTTGACTTATTATCAAAGGTAGTCGTTTTATACAGATTTGTATGTTTATATATTAAAAAAAAAAATAAAAACTATGAAAGTACTTATTATTATTAACTAATAGTTCATCTGTTACATATTTGATAAGAAAATAAAATATAGATGATTATTGATAATTAAAAAAATTAGAACACTTAAAATACAACGCGTTGAGATTGCGTTTTTGTTAAAATTTACAATTTTATATTAATTACCAATTTTTACAGTTCAAACTATGTAAAACATTTTTTTTTAAAACCATGAATTATTGCAAGTATGGTCAGTTATATATTGTATTGTTCCATTTAAATATTTTATGAACGAGTTATACCTAAAAAATACACCCGGAGACAGGAGGTTGGGGCTGCGCGGTAGATCGTTTTCCACGTACAAGTTATTGTTGCTAAGTTTTGCCCCTATCAATTCAGATGCAGAAAATATGCTCATTCTGCTGGAATCCGCTGGGCTGGGATTTCCTGACGACCGTCTGATTAGTTGTTTTCGTGTGTTGAAGTCCGGTGGACTGTTGGACGCTCCTTGGCTCAGTCGTCTTCCTACGGTCTCCGAATAACTAGCTACGTCCGTGCTGTATCTTCGGATACTCAAGTTCCCAGAGCTCCGTGACCTCTGCTTGCTATAACGTCTACCAAGGCTCAATCTGGAAATGGTTTTGATCATTAGCAGTCGTTTAAATGTTTAATATTTAATACTGAAATAATAACAATAATGGTCACTATATGCAGTGTTAACTCTACCTGGCCGGTGACAAAAATTTTGTTGTCGTTCGTTTCGGAGACTGTCCGGCGGTTGGAGAGTTTGATAATGTTAACCTGACGTTTTGTTTTTTGTTGTCTCTCTCTTCCCTTTGTATTCTAAAAGTACATAAATACAAACGGGCAAATAACATATATTTAATAACAATAATAATAATAATAATAATAATAATAAAACAGACAATAGATTTATTAAAACATACAAACCTTCGGATCTCTTCGATGACTTCGAAGAATTGACCTTTTCGTTTTCTACGCTCGAATTCTTTCTGTAACAATAGAACGGGAAAAAGATAAAATTTTCAGTCAAAGATTATTATTTATAAATATATTTCTAACCTGTGCGTGTTGAGGATGCATAAAAGGCAAACTAACTCGTCGTACGCTTTTTTGAAACAGAGATGCGATTTGTCCTTGTCTTAAAGTGTGCACTAGTTCTTTAGCCGTGTGTTGGGGTGATATTAGTTCTACGCTATTTATAAACTTGTAGAGTTTCTGAAAAAAAGAAGATATTTATATATTTATTACTGTAGACTACGATTATTTTCCAGTATTGAAATTTATAGTAGTCATTTGTTAGTTGTAACATTGTAATGATTATAATATAATACAAATAGTAGTAATGTTATTATACAAATAAATAAATAAATAAATATGATGATATATTGACGTGTTTAGTAATGTTTTTCTTCGTACTTGACTAACGAACATCATATTTTGGTTTCTCCATATTGAATCTGGTGGCTTTTGTCGAAGTTTGGGTAATGCGTAGTGATAAAAAGCGTGTTCTAGACAGAGGATAACAGCGCCTGCTAGTATTCCACAACCCAACATGAGGAAAACACCTAAAAATGCATCGACGCCCAACGGTGTCGGTTGTCCAAGGTCTGACGTTTCTAGTTCGCGGTTGATACAAGGTAAATCACTGAACCATTTGTTTTGTAGGATATCCATGAAACCGTTGTTTATATACGTTGAAACTGCTGCAGACACCTTTTCCTGTTGCACAAAAAATTGATTATTAAAAGTTATTTTAATAATTATAATAAAAATACATAATACATGGACAGACCTTTAAAACAAAGTTTTTAGTCATGCCTACTCCGTAAACGTCGTCATAAAGTGGATCTCCGTGTGTTTGGAGTTTACAATCATGATCAGTTCCACTATAATAGTCCAAAATGGGTTTGTCACCGATGAATATGTCCAAACTGCCATTTCTAAGATTTAAAACAAAATTAAATAAGCAACGAAGATTTTTAATTATATTTTTAAATATTTTACACTACGTGAAAATCAAAATTACATCATTTTTTAAATTTTTAATTACCAAGTAAAATCATATCAGTATACTAAGATAGAATCTCCTGGAGATTAAAAGTGTTAATAATTATTCATTAACTTAAAAAATTTAGTCTATTAATTTGAATAATGTTCTTTTTTAATCTTAAAACCATTTTGTATCTTTTCCTGTCAGATCAATTAACCTTTTTGACTAAAAGCTTATTCTTGTTGTTAAAAAAAAAAAAAATAATAATAATAAATAAACTATCTTGCTTCTAAGATTTTTTAATATAAACACGAAATATTTTATTAATGATTTTAAAAAAAATATAAAATATGTCAACGAGTAATAATGGACTATACTCTTGCATACAAAGCATTTACGAAATAATAAATATGTATCTAACCTACAAATCCTTATTTAGACCTATATATATATATATATATTATATGTGTACGACTATATATCTTATTCAGACATATGGAACATATTTAAACCATCTAAAACAAGAAATCATCCAAGCATTTCAGTATAATATTTGTCTTAGTCAAATAACGACATCCTTTTGAAACACGTATATCTTACGAAAACCATTATAAAGACATCAAAGTTGTCACTTAACTATAACTCAAAATAATATTCCTAACTTGATCCTTGTTATAATCTGCTATAATAAATAACCCATGTTTATTAATTCTTTCCAACAGTTAGACATGTAAATTAAGTTGTATATAACCAAGATCTTATTGCAATTAATCAATAACATTTTTTAATTAGGTATGATTCATCACTGTGACTCATTCTACTAAATTATTGTTGTTGAGCAAATGGTAAATCAAGCTATACTAAAAATATTTACAAATAATATTACTTCTGGATATTATTAGTTTTTTCATTGTAAATTACTTTACCTTAACATTTGCATGCCCGACGCTGTGTCAGGAACAGAATATTTTTGAACGTGTTGCCATAGAGCGGGATTTTTGTCTTTTAAATAAACCTCTGCAGACGATGATTTAGCCGATCCAACTTTCATCAAGAACATCTAAAAATTAAATATCACGTACAAGTCGTACACGTACATTTTACTAACTGATAGTATTATAATACAATAGTATGACGGTGTTCGATACAATCGTGTATTTACATTTCGATCGTTGTAATCCACTTCAGCATTTTGAAATAGAAGTGAAGCAATTAGAGCTGCGATATTGGCAGTGTAACTGGCCACGAATATAACGCAAAATCCGCCCCAGACGTTAATTAAAAATTTGTTTGGCCACGATTTTGGTGCTTTAAAATTGACGAGAGCGCCGCAGAGCAGTCCCCACATTGCCCACAATGCTGAAGGCATACTGTGAATACGAATAATAGTTATTGACTATTGTTCAACACCATAAAACTGTCTAAAAACAAATATATTTACCCAAAATTCTTGGATCTCTGTCTGCCAGAAGGATTTAAGCCAAATGGACTGAACCATTCATACAACGCCACTGCCACTGTGGTTACGTGAAGTGACACGAATATAGCGATCCATAGGCTTGGACTAAGTGGTAACAGAAATGCGAGAAGCGGAACGTTGGTTTTTCTCTTCGGGGCAACCATCATTGAGACGCCGCTGTAGAAATAAGGGGTAGAAAAGTCCACCCACTTCGATCTAAAACATAAAATAAAAATAAAATATATCTTATAAGTTGTAATAACTGTTTTATGGCGTTGTGTATTTGACAAGAACCTTGAAGACGTGACGCTTAGCGGACAGAAAGCCATGTGTGCGGTACCGGACACGAGTTCACCGACCACTCCATTCCAATGGATCTTCTGGGATCCAAATGTACCGTCAGCCACTAAGTATAGGTGAAAATCAAATTCCAAGTCTTTTGACATTTTTTCCAGCAGGTCTATGGACAACCCAAAACAGCAATATGTCTCCGGTAGTGACGTGCTATATATAATAACGAACAATAATTATGAAATATACCATATAATTATTATAACTAAACATGTGTAGTACTAATACAGAATGTTCAATAGGTTTGTAATTGCTCATTAGACCAGCGGTTTTCAACCTTTTTTTCGTTCTGTACCCCTAAGTTTAATATTTTGCTAGGTTGTATCCCTCATTATAATTTTTAAACCTTTTTACATAACTACTTTTAAAATATTTAAATAAAAAAATAATAAAAAATTCTATGTTACATTTTGAAACTCCATATATATATTAGATAAGTTGATGGTTAAGTTTTAATTTGTGACACAAATTTTCATTTTTAATAACATATGAATATTTTTAAATAATTGTTTTAGGTAAATAAACAAATTCAACATTTTCTGCCATTAACCAATTTTTTTCACGTACCCCTTGGGGGTACGCGTACCCTAAGCTGAGAATCGCTGCATTAGACTAATTAGGACTGATAAACTATAATATGATATAATTAATGAGGTTATTAAATATTTTATGTTATACACAGTGATATTATTTGTTATTACTCCATGTAGGTATTAAAATATACATACAGTAATTGAGATTTTTCCAAATTTATTGAATACCTGGTATAGGTATAATACTACAAGTGTTTCAACCGCGTTTGCTATTGTATTGCTTCTTGTCACTCACTTTTTGTGTAAGTTCAACTCGACATCCTTGAATATCATCGTTATGTTGTCCTTGTTAGTTGTCGTCATTTGATAACATTGTATACCGCGTAAACACTGGCGATCCTGTTGCAATGGTGCGTGCATGACGAATGGTGGCCCAATGGCGGTTACCACCCTGTACACAGCCCGTCTACCTAGATTAGCAGCCGGCACCATTTTCCCGCCTGCCCACACCACCGAGTCTAAATTGACCAATTGTCTGCCAGTACTAGAAGGACTGACGGTGCCGACTTTTTTCCAAGCCCTCGTATATCCATCTAAAACAGAGAAGGAGAAATACAAGTAAGAAAAAAAACCACACACTTAGTGAAGTACACAATATTATATATATTTAGGTCTATAGTAGATGAGGCAAATAAGGGGCAAAGAAAAAACTTTTTTACTTCGTCTTTAAACTAATTTATCTCTAGTGGAAAAAGAAAAAAAAATTCAACAAAAGACGTTTAGTGTTTTTTTATCGTCAACGAAAAAAAATAGTTACACCGTTAAAATAAAAAATACACTTTATATCTGTTAGCCTGGAAGTGTTTAAATATATATATATATATATATATAGGTATATATACAAGGGTATGGCGATCTTTTCCCAAAGTTTTAATTGTATTCAGGGTCGAACGAAAATATTACGCGTAGACGTATACGCTGTTGTATGCGCAATGCATATTTTATTACATTATTTTCGGTCCGAGGAAACCCGTTTTGCACCTGACCATCCGTACCGTTTTCACGTCATACAATACGTGACCGTCAACATTTTAATAAAAAGTTTTGAATCATCTATTCAAAAGCGGTATTCCTCGGGGAACGTGAACCAATATTTAACTTCGAACGTCCCAACTTCGCGGACTGTATTGCACACGGTTTATCGATTTGGACGACTAAATACGATATATTCTGTATTGTAGAAGTAAATGACTGCAGTGGAAAATTTAAAAAATATGTCGTCATTGTCTGCGTCTTGCTGTAATAATTTTTCAGACCATCTGTTTCGTGAAAACTAAAACGGATTAAAACACCGGTGGTCCACAGCTACAATATCCTATATACTTTGTTCCATTTTCGTTTCATCATCATCAATCACGCACACGCACACTCATGATACACAATGTTACATATAATACCATGCTAGTAACACTACATGATGTAATAACATCTTAAGAACTTTCAAATAAAATGAAAACGATATATTTTATTTCATTATTATACGTTTTGTTTCATCGTAAAAGACAGCTCTGAGGTAATAATGTTACATTTTATTCTTATATATTTTGATGTGTCGACAATATTTAATATTTAACATTTAACATATTTTTTTTAAAACTTCATTGCTGAATCTAAAAAATACACCAGTGATTGATTTAAAACTGTTCTATCAACATAAATATACCGTTTTATAATGAATATAAATTTAAATTTTGTATTTAAATGATATCAGTTTATATTATACAAATGAATGTTTTTTTTGCATATTACGATAATAATTTTCATAATAATAATGTTATTATATTATGATTATGTACCTAAACATGACGCGCTGTGTGTATTTTTTAAAATTTATTTTTGAAGACTCGAAAATATTTAAAGGTATTGGGTAAAATAATTATATAGGAATAACACTCGTCGCCCAATAAAATAAATCACCAGCGCCGATGATTTTTTATACTCGATATTTCAAATTGTATGTATTGTTGTTTGAGTTTAATGACTCGTTCATCCGGTAAATCATTCGTTTAATGGACTCTGTAGGGTATCAAAATATATTATTATATTGGACACCCTAAATAAACGAATAAAGACACCGAGTGTGTTGTGAACGAATTTTTACCACAATTTTATTATTTGTAAAATGTATGACATAATTAATTTCAAAAACTGCTATCGATATTTATAGTAATAATATAGGATATTTTTATATAAAAATTAAGACGTCCTAATTGTAAAATATATTCTTTTATATACCGTGATCACGTGGTTTAACACCATGTTTCATTTTTTTGTACTTCTGTTTCAATTATTGAGTGTAAAATTAAATTGTTTTTTATCGGCTAATTATTTCCGAAATGCGATCTTCTATCTGTTTATAAGTTTTCCATCGAAAAATAGCATAAACTATGTATATATCGTGTACATCTACTGCTGCATGCGTCATAATTTTAACCAGTAGTATCTTATTTGTATACTTGTATATAAGCCAATTTTTTACCGAATTGGAAACCGTAGGATATATGACCATTTTGATTATTGCCCTTAAAGTAGAAAACACGTCAGTTAGAATATTAAGACGCGTATTTCTATTAAATTTTGCTCAGTGTCGTAATAGTGTGTCTTCAAATACACGGTACGTTCTATACGCAAATACATATATTTATGTTTGTATAATGTGCACAATTTTTTTTTTACAAATAACGCGATAAATAAACGTATTTGAGGGTTTCCATACTTGCACTCTCTTTCACATGCCAGTGGTTACTTCATATTCTATTAGTGTTGTGGGTTTAACGAAATAAACGTGGTAATAAAATTTTGTTCGGATTCTATATGATATACATGTAACTACAACAGTTTTATTTATTATTTTTGACACACCTGAAATTGAATATGTGTATTGATTTTTTCATTTAGCTATATAGTGTAAAAATATTTAAAAGATTTACATTTCTCGGTAGAATGGAAAGTTTTTGAGCAAAGTATAATAGTTTCAAAGATTGCTAAGGAATTCACTAAACAAGAATTAAGTTAACTAAAATATTTGTATTTACTCTCTTCACACCTAGAATAATTTGAATCATTAATTGGGGTTTTGTATAAAAAACTAAAATGTAATTTTTTATCGAGTCCTTTCAGTTTTGAGTTTATTATTTATAAATTATTCTACAGTATAACGACTTATTATAAACAAAAGTTATAGATTTTTTAAGAATATATTTTTTTAGTGAAAAATTATTTTAATGTTTTCATTAAAATTATAAATAAAGAAGAATACATAAGTTGTTTGTATAAAATAATATGCGCTTATAAAAACTGAATAATTTATTATTATTATTTTAAATTAAAAACAACATACATAGTTAAATACTCTTTTGACGCATATTCAATAAACAATATCAATTGCATTGATAATCTATAATACAGTTAATCAAATACAATATTTGAATTTTTTATTATTGGCTTAATATTTTTATCATTATTTAATGATGTTTTAAAACAAATAATAGATATATTAAATTTAGATAAAAAACTAACTCGCGAAATGCGTTTTAGATTTCATACAAACACTGAATTGTAAATGATTTTACATATTTAAAAACGAATAATTTTAGGATCAAGAAAATATTATTTTTAAAGTTTTAAAAAGAAACATCGGTCCATAAAAATTAGTATAATATATTTTTTTTTATTTTTATTTACAATTTATACATTCGTAATGCAAGTCCGAGATTTTAGCATAATAGAATGATAATATTTTTTCCAAAAAATGTATTGAGTAACATTTTTAAAACTAGTTATATTGTTGTAATTTGTATTGTTCTTAGTTTTGTTATTGGTATCATTATTTTATAAGTACCCGTATATGTGTGTGTGTGTGTGTGTGTGTGTATGTATGTCTGGGATTTAGAGAAGTGATATAGAACGTACAATGATTAACGATTGCACATATACATGGTGGAAGCAAATTGTTTCACACATAGTCACGCCCCTATAAAAGAATAATATATTATATTTAACGTGTGAAATGCAACTGAAAATTTTCTGTGTATATGTTTTAAACTTAAACTCGAATTCTATACTCGATAGTCTCTGGACGATTCTCTTGGCGGGAAGTTTATAGACAGTTCATGTAAGTATATAAAACACACACACGCCACGCGTCATCGATTTACAATAAATATTTTGGCGAAAATGCTTCGATGAAACATCTAAAAGTCCGACAAATATCCAGTTACTTGATCTAATTTAAAGTTTAGGAAAAAAGTTGTGCAATCGGGGATGTGTTTTTTTGTGTGTACGAGTTGGATTACTTTTTTTTAATTCAAAAAATATAAAAAAAAAAAAAAAAATGGATAAATATAATGCCCAATAATAAGTATAAATATCGAAAGTACGAGTAATTAATTAAAACTAAACAGAAACCAAATTTTTTTTTATTGAATTGGGTTAGTTACAAAATGAATAGTTGGTGGTCGGGTGTAAAATAAAAAAAATATATCTATACACCACATGACATGCGCATACAAACTGATATAATATTCATATTGAAATACTATCCAGCAGAAGTACTGTAATGTTTTATCGATATCATTTCAACCGAGGAAATTATTGAATTGCACTTTATTGTGTCTATGCATATTATTATATTATATTACGAGTATGTACGCTGTCAGCGTCTTTTAACACGTCAATTTTGTTTCAGAGTACAAGTCATTTAAAGGCGAAGAAGTAAGTTATTTATCAAAAGATAGAAATGCTGGTGATTTCTAGTAACGGCGAAAATACAACTGGCTGTAAGAAAAGAATAAAATCAAACCATTTCGATGGCCAAAACGAGCAAAAATATTTTACATGAAAAACCATCATGCTTCGTAGAATAGTTGAATATTGATTATTTTATTAATATTTGAAAGAGGAAAGTTTTATTCAAGTTTTATTGACTTTTATTATTGAATTGACTTAAAATAATACTGGAAAAATATATTTTAAAGATATGATATAGGTACTCAAAAATTTGCGATAATTTTTATTTTTATTACATCATTTGAAAATAGGTTTTATTTTTAAATTAAATTTAAATTTATTATACGATCTGCCTGCTTAAAGTAATTAAATAAATAAAAAATGGTTGAAATCTGACTAGTTTGCCATTGCAAGAAGCGTAAGTTTTTTTTTGTAAATTTTTATATTGAAAATACGTCAGTTCTGACACTCTTAAGGTAATTTCATACAGCTAACATCAAAGTTTCTAAAAAAAAAAAAAATAAACCCGTCAAGTTTATTTAGACAAATAAATTAAAATCTCGCTTTGTAGGAGTTATTCTCTTCAATGAATCATTTAGTGTTTTTAAACGATTAAATTAATGATAGGGTTTAAGGTGTTATATAACGAAGTCCGATAGAAGTTTAAAAATACAACGAGCAAAGTGGTATTAGTGTAAATATTTTAGTAATTTTTTTACTATCTTTGAAGTCTCTCGCTCACCACCACTTGGGGCGAGAAACACCACGTCTCAATTAAAGCACTTGAATTTATTTTATTTTATTT